AAACTTTATATTCTCTTTTGTATCGTTTTAGCATACTTTTAACCAATCATTTTGCATTATTGCTTTTGAATATTCATCTTCCTTATATAACATTATTTCAATATTTTTTACTTTTACAACAGTGTACCTTCCTTGTATAATATTAGTCGAAAGAAAGAGAGATATGTCATATCTTAATGTACTTTAGTTGCGTCCAAAAAACTACCAATTAAACTATGTCTGGCTTAATTAAAGAAATACTTTATCTTGTCAATTTGTATTTAGAGTGATAAAGCAATCTTTGACTAGATAACGTGAGGCAATCCAATGCAAATTGTACATTTACAAGCACCCCAATAAAACTCTCTGTAATTTTTGTGTTTGAACTTTTGTGCAATAGTAATGTTTTTACCATGAAATATCAATAATCATCATTTAAGGTTTGTTTGAATTTGCCCCGAGTGAAAAAAAGTAACATGAATATATGATAAGTTAAGGAACATTAACGTAACATATAAAATTTGTTTGGAGCTTTATTATAAGGGAAAACAGCTGGAAATATTTTTCGTAACTATTGTGAAGTTTAATAAAGTGAAAGGAAGAGAAGAGAATGTATATAAATTTACATAAATAACCTTATATATATAATACTCTTTTTTTGATAGAATGATAAATTTTTTTTTTTTGGTCAATGAAGAGCTTTTTTATTCATCCACCAAAATTGGAGTGTAATTACATCATGATATATAGTTCAGTAAAGAACTAAAAAAAACAGAGCCTAAAAACAAGAAACAAAGCAGCTATAACAACATAAACCGCTGTTTATTTTCCTAAGAAATTTGACTGTTAAGGACCATGATCATAATGTCGAATTTTATCTCCTTAGTAAGCTGATCAATACTCTTAGTCTTCAAGTTGAAGATCCTATCATTCCTTTCTCTCCATATTCTGTAAACTGTATTCGCAAGAGCCAATCTCTTCAAACCTTGTTTAAACCCTTTCCCTTTCAATCGACAGTTATACCAATCCAACAATACATTCCAATCGCAAGCCCTCCATTTAAATTTGAGCCAATCCATGATGTTATTCCATACCCCATTAGAGAAGAGACAATCAAAGAAAAGATGATTTCTTGTTTCCTGTGCAGTGCTTGAACATAAACAGCAATGGCTTGATTGAATAACACCCCTCCTTAGAAGCTTATCCTTGGTTAGCAGTCTGTTTAAAACTGTTAACCACAAAATAAAGCTCTGTTTAGGATAAATCAAGGAGTCCCAGACTGTCAAATACCAGTTTACATTGCCAGAAACAGGAGATATGGCTGAGTATAGCTTCGACAACTAGATATTTGAATTTTTGCAACATGAACTGATGCAACTCTTCAGATTTTCTATGCCTCCACATATAATAATTGCTTTATCCCTGGCTTTGAGCAATTGTTTTCACATCCAAGAATCACCAACTTTCATGCTGACATGCCAGATAGTTGTATTTTTCAGATATTTTTCGTGAATCCACTTAATCCACAACCATTCTTTGTTAACATGTATATACCAAATGGTTTTTAAAGCTGAAGCCAAGTTCCAAGTTTTTTGTAGAAAAAATTCCCAAACCACCACACCTCTTCTCCTTACAGATTTTGTCCCAAGCAACTAGGGGCGATTTGTAAACCTGGTCAGTTTTACCCCATATTCTTCTCCTTACAGATTTTGTCCCAAGCAACTAGGGGCGATTTGTAAACCTGGTCAGTTTTACCCCATAAGAAATCTCTGCATAAGTCATCTATTTTTTGGAGAACTTTAGAAGGCAAAATGTAATTAGAGGTCCAATATATTTGAATCCCCAGCACCACACTTTTAATAATCTGAAGCCTACCAACAAAAGTCAGTTTCTGATTTTTCAGCCATGACTCAAACTGATTTGTAATCTTCTTAAATAGGGGAGAGCAATCAATGTAGAAGAGCCTCTTGCATATTGAAGGTACACCAAGATACTTAACTGGCAGGGAACCCTCATGAAATCCAAGGCAACTGTTGATAGATGCTTTAACATCTTCTTCAATGCCACCATAGAAAATAGCACATTTAGAAGGGTTGGCTTCCAATCCAGAAATTTCACCAAAGTCCTTTACACACTGATATAGTTTTTGGATAGAGTATATGTCACCTCTACTGAATAGAAGAAGGTCATCAGCAAAAGCAAGGTGTGTAATTTTCAACTTTCCACACAGAGGATGAAATTTGAAATCTTTGTCATACTTTAGCATATTCATATTCCTGGAAAGATACTCCATGCCTATAATGAACAAATATGGAGATAAAAGATCCCCTTGTCTTAAACCCCTTGCACCCTTGAAATACCCATGGAGAGATCCATTCATGGATATAGAAAATTTGGTGGATGAAATACATGCCATAATCCATTTAATGAATACTGCTGAGAACCCCAAACCTTTAAGCATGCTTTCCAGAAAAGACCAGCTAATTGTGTCGAAGGCTTTCCTTATATCAGTGTTTATCATAGCTCTCGGAGTTAGGTGTTTTCTGCCATAGTTCTTTACCAATTCATGTGCTAACAAAATATTGTTGTTAATTTGCCTACCTTTGACAAATGCACATTGAGCTTCACTAATTATATAACCAATGACAGATTGCAGCCTATTAGCAAGGATTTTTGAGATGAACTTATATAGGCAGTTACAGCAAGAAATTGGCCTAAAGTCAGCAGGGGATTGAGGGCATTGTACCTTGGGAATGAGTGAAATAGAGGTGGAATTAATAGCTCCCAACAGTTTTCCAGTTTTAAAGAATTCCTGAATAGCAGAGGTTACTTCTTCACCAATAATAGGCCATGCAGTTTTATAGAATGATGCATTGAACCCATCAGGTCCTGGGGCTTTGTCCTCTGACATAGAGAAGACAGCTTGCTTAATTTCTTCATTTGTAACTGAACAAGATAGACTAACAGCTTGATAATCAGTGAGACAAGGACCACTTTGAATTATGCTTAAAACTGGTAAAGAGGTGGATATTTCTGTGCCCATCAAGTTCTTATAATAGGAGATGAATTCTTGGGCGATTTCCTCTCCTTCAGTAATTTTTCCCCACTATTAGTAATGAGTGACATTACTCTATTACCAATGCAAAATCATAAATTTTCTCACCTTGGTTACATTAACCTCCCCCAATTATCTATCATAAATAAGTTCCTAAACAAGATTAATGAGTCTTCCTTACCTGCCATTAACTTCAATCCAGACTGGTGACACTTTTGGTACTAAATTTTGTAGAAGACTTTTGGTAAGATTAATGAGAATTGCCAAATATTCATGGCCTCCTCCCAAGTAATTACTTACTCTCCATTTCGCATTAACGTTTGGTTCAGGTCTTGACTGCAATGAGAATACTAAAACAATACATTAATTGGTGATAGAATCTGTACATGACTTTTTTTTGCTTCTAGCTTCAATGTCTCATTCATGTTTTGCTTATTAAGAAAAGTTCCCTTACATTTCTATTTCAAAGAAGCTTTAGCTTTTTACTATGTAAACACAAGTCAACTTTTGTTTATAACTAACATTCTCTCATTTTCCTCAACGTACGTTCTAAACCAAACGGGGATAAAAATCCAGGCTAACAACATAGGGTGCAATTTCTTGTCGCCTTGTGATGCATTCATGACGATGGAATTTATTAACTAGCCTTAGTTTTGCATTTTTTTTTCTTTTCCTTTTAGGGGTTAGATTATGTGTATCACACATGTTTGTACTTAAACTAAATACATGCATTTTCTTGGTATGCTTTGTCTTATTAGTGAAGCACCCCGGAACTTCTCCAAAAAATTGTGTAGACCGTCAAGAGTTCAGTTCACAAGATAGGCATAAGATCACTTTCATGCACCATTTAAAATGGTCATATGTATGCATACATATACACATAAAGAAAAGAGAGAACAAATAAACTTTGCAATGATTAGCTAAAATAAAGACAATTTAGGGCCATTTGGCCATTTTAAAAACATTTATTACCCTATCAGTCCACCTTAACCTCTGATCAAAGGCTAGTACACAAAGTACTACACAAGACTTGTTAATTGTTTTCTCAATCCAGAAGAAAAACAAATTAGGAAAAGATAAAGCACTAGGATCGAACTTTTTTAATCATATAACTAATCACTTATTATTAGCAGATGATGATAAAGTTCTAACCTACTTCGTCTTTCCTTGTCACCCAATAGTGGGACTGCTCGCGGTGTTACTTAAACAAAATTTATGGCGGCTGCTGATGAAGACCCCATTTCCAAATGCTACGGTGATGTCATTGATCTTTATTTTATTTTATCTTAAGGCTTATATAAGTATATAACCAGGTTTAATTATACACAATAAAACAACAATTACAAACTCTGATCTCATTGACTAGTCCGACAATGCAAGCACAAAAGAAATCAAGTGTTACGTATGCCTAGTTGTTCGGATGTAATTCGATTTTTTGATTAATGAAAAGTAAATTTTACTGATAAAAAAATAATAATAATAAAATAAAAATAAATGTTATTCCATTAAAAAAAGAAAAGAAAATAAATGTTCGCATGGTCTGATCCCAGCCCATGATCACTGTAAGCTTGGCCCAAGCTAAGCTACTAAGACAAATAAGCTTCGCCCGTATCACCATTTAAAAGCCCACAAACTACATCTCAAATCTATTTTTTGATTAGGGCATCTTCCCCTATTTCCTCCTATTAAAAAAAAAAAAAAAAGGAAAAAAGCTCTGTTCTCACTTGGATTTTGTTTTTTGAGTCTGCATTGATAAGTATTTCTTATAATAACATAACTATTTCCGCACGATAATAAGTTTAATGAAGTAAAAACTAATTACTTGATCTATTATACGCATGAATAAGTAGTACCATATTATTTAATTAAACATATATGGCTTGGAAGCATCATATTCAAAATCTAATTAAACGAGCTAATAGGAGAATGAACATTGCAATATATATTCATACACAATGAGGAACGTTGCAAATTACAGTATCATAATTTTGACAGATAATGGGAAAAAAACATTAATAGAAGAGAAACAAAGAAAGAAATCAATCTTTATAAGCATCAATTTTGTTGACATGAAACCTATATGGCTGTCAAACAAGCGGACTACACAATAAAGTCCATATTGATGCGTTCATAATTCTTCAATGTTGCAGCCTGCGACGTAGAAGAATCTCGATCCCCCTTATTAGCAGCATATATATAGCCAGTTATGATCTGCTGATATTTAGTATGAATCATAAATACTACAGAGCTTGGAAGCTAGATCTCTAACCAATTTCAGTTTATTATGTACATATCCCTGTGTCATTCCTATGATCAGTAGTATAATTTGTATATTTATATTTAAATAGTAGTATGAGACGTAGATGCATAATTTGCATCTTTATCTTGGCTGAGCTGAGACGCGACGAATTTGTCAAGAACTCTCCAATCTGTGACCTGTTCAATTTGAATGTTATGTTCTTGATCAAGTGCGATTGATGAAGAAGAAGTTTGGAGAAGGCCAGGGCTCTGTAACTGAGGCAGTTGGATGAATAAAGGGTCGTGATGGGGAATATTCATGTTAGGGTATTGAAGCTCTAGCTCTGGCTTGCAAGGGTAAAAATGGTTGTTTTGGTGATATCCGAGCTCTGGCATGAAGGAAACATGTTCATCGAACCAACAAGGTGACTCGTGCTCGCTTGGTCTTCTTACTGCAGTTACTCGTTTCTTGAACACTCGGCAAACCACCCATCCTTCTTCCTGAAAATAGGGATATATATGTTACTAGCTTATAACAGTTGGAAAAAGAAAAAAAAAACTTTGTCAATAGATATTCGTAATATCAAGTTTGTGATATCCTTTATATGCATGTCTGTTGTCATGTAGAATAACCATAAATGGTTACATAAAATGACGACAGTACATGGAAGACTATAAATTATGTAATATGTTAAATTAATATATTGTTAAAGGTTAAAAAAAAGATTAAATATTCTCTGTTTATAATTAATAGGAGCAAGTGTGATGATAGTGTTAGTGATGACATATTGCTATAGCATTTGACACATTTTGCAATAACAATTGATCAGTCATAAGAACATGTAATCTTTTGCCTAGTGTTACTAACTATATTCTCTTCCTTCAATTAAATGAAATTATGTGATAAAAGCCAATTTCAAGGTAATTTTATCCAATTATAAATGTCTTCTACATAACTGTCTCAAAAATTAGAGATCTTCCCTAGAAATAGATAATTAAGGTAGTATATGTAATAGTTAATATGGCAGAAATGTAGAATGTGATCAAGCTAATACTCATGACCTTGAAGGTCAAAATTTACAAGTATAAGGATATTAAAAAAATGAATGCAGGTATAAATTAGATATTCATAGTATATATTGTTGGAGGATATTTAAATTCGTCCGTGCAAAATTTTCTCTCTCACTGTATATATCAAAAAAAAAAAAAATTCACCTGAGGAGTTGCATTTTCATTCGTTTCAAGACGATACTCGTGCATGATCCAGTCTGACTTCTGCCCATTTGGTGCTCGGCCTTTATAAAAGACTAGAGTCTTCCTCATTCCGACCAAATTGTTCTTCGAATAGATTGGCTTGTCCCTGCCTGTTGCTTTCCAAAATCCCGCTGTAGTTGCTCTATTAGTTCGAGTGCCAGTTGGATATTTCTTATCTTTATGACTAAAGAAATACCATTCATTTTGCTCTTCCACACCTATCTTGCATTGTTCTGTAAAAATAAAAATTTATAATTATTGCATGGTAGCAATTAAGTTGAAAACTTAAGAATCTTGGTGAGAAATTTGTTGATAATATATACCTTGGAGATCCCATGGCTCAATTTTATACAAATCAACATCTTTTATGACATCTAGGTCAATTTTTATTGATGCTACCTTCTTTCTAAGATAGTAATCAACAAGTTCTTCATCAGTTGGGTGGAACCGAAAGCCTGGAGGAACATGAGAAAAAGTATTCATGTCCTTGAACTTCTACTGTATACTAAGTCCTGCAAAATTACATTTGTGAAATTTATTAATTGTTGAGAGAGAGAAAAAAATTTGCTGATGAGATAACTGAAAACATTACTACATTATGTAAAGACAATAGAGCAAATTTGAAGGAATTATGATGCTAATAAACATAGCATTGTTCATGGTACTAAAAGAAGGCAAATGACTCTCTTTTTCTCCCATGGACTAAAGAAAGAAAAGAGAAATCAAATACTTAAGAAACAAAATATCAACCACTAGGTGACAATATAACGAAGATTTAAGTAAACTTATTAACCTATGGTATTAATTTGTTAATGTATTAGTTGATCAATCTTCATTCATTATGTACAGTATATGTTGTACATATATACCTGTCATATATATAATGAGATTTTTAGAAAATTTAAATTAATAAATATAACTATATAAGTTCAAAAGTATATATATGTTTGATATTTCAGAGAAATTAAAAGGAAAAATGATATAAACAAATATAAAAATATTTAATATTAGGTATTTTCTTTAAAATTGTTCTTTTTTGCTTTATCGTAAGTTTATATTTCTATGTGACCCACGTACATTCTACACACACAAATTTAGGCCAATATATAAGAGCTATACTATACAAAGACTACTCATAAGAAGAAACTTAAAATGCAAATACATGTGCTTCTAATGTTTCATATATAGATTTACCAATTCATGTTTCCTATATGGAAAAAAGTATTTTTTTCAAGAAAATATATAGTTGGAGAGTTTTTCCTTTTATTTTTTTAATTTCTTATACAAGCAATAATTTGTAGGGTCATGTACTCTAGCAATGGTAGACAGAAAAGCATTTACCAACACAGCCTTAATTAAATCAGATACTTGGATCTGGAAATTAATGTGCTTCATTCTGAAAAAAAGAATAAGGAAGGTAGATTAATCTTTGCCTCACAAAGAATCTTTAAAAAAAAAAACTAAAAAAAGAGGAGAGAAACTGTCTATATATGCTTCCATAAAATTTATAAAAAAAAATAAACTTTTTAATTTTTTGTACTGCAGCAATGTTGAACTGAATCTGCACAACATACAAGAGAGATGGTACCTATTGTAATAAGAAGTATACTGGCAGGTTTTAATAAAAAAAAAGGAGATGATCAAATAAATGAAACCCTAGTAGCTAGAGTCCATCCTCATTTCTTCAAATGAGAAGCTTGAAACAAAAGACTGACTACATACAATAAACAAACAAAACAAAGCAAAACATGATTAGCTGATAGTTAATTATGAATTGATAGATCTAGCATGTAGTGTCTCTTTGTGGTAGAGAGAGAGAGAGAGAGAGAGAGAGAGAGAGGGCTCACAAGCTCTTGCTACTTCTGCACTAATGTTGTCCTCGATCTCTTCGAATGGACTTTGCTCAATCCAAAGATGATCACCTATGAATTAGGAGCTTCTGTGTCTTCTATCCAATCCCTCCTCCTCTTGTAGCTGAGCTTGACTGAATCTAATTACTTTGTATCCTATTACTCCTCTATCTTCTTGAATATCTCCAAATAAATTTGAGAGGGAACATATAAGAGATCGACAGGGAGCTGCAGGGGTTGGCCAGAGTTATATACGCAACAATATCTTTCCCTCTCTCTCTCTCTCTCTCTCTCTCTCTCTCTCTCTCTCTCTCT